TCGAAGACAAAGTTTCATTGTCTTTATGCGTTAGAAATTTTCGCCACTCCTTCAGGATAATAGTTCAATAAGACAAAATTATTATTTTTTGCCCAGTCACTACGTTTCAACGTAATTCTTTAATATTTAGAAGAGACTTTGAGTCCATGGTTCTGCACACAAATGCTCGTTCCAGAGAGAATTCGTAACTAAGTCCTTCATCACCAAAACCGAGTAACGTTTTCTTCCGTGGTGTTGTATACTGAATTGTCCCATTAATTTCAAAACTTAATATTTTTTAAAATGCATAATTTGATAGACTTCAGCTTTTAGCAAAATATCAGCTTTCATTTCGTGAATAAAATTCTTCGTATAATTTCACAATTTAACTCTGTATCAGTTAAATATATCCTCATATTCGCTTTCATGAATCCAACGAGAATTCTGAAATGATATAGAAATATGTAGCATTTCTTAAATAGCAAAAATTATCTAAAACATACATTAACGAAATGATTTCATCAACACTTATCGTAATACATTCTTGTCATGTCTTGTTTGTGAAGCCAGTCTTTCCGGCGTCATATGTGTAAAAATAATCATGATAGGATAGTGGGAAAGAGTTATAGTGTCCTAATGTAGTTATTCTGAACCTCGATATTACATATATGCATAAGGAGAATCTTAAAAGCATCATCCACTTATCATGATAGAGTAATGGAAAATTTCTAAAACTCTGATAATCATACGCGAAAGAATGTATTATCTTAAGGTTATTGTTGCTATTCCAAATTTGACAGTACATAGAGAGGTGAAGGAAGATCCTTGATAAGCGCTGTAGACTTCACGTTATCATGATAACGTGCAGCACTAATATGAATATGGAGGAATAATAGGAAATAATAGGAAATATTTGAATATGGAGTAAATGAAAACAATCCATATCGTTAAAATGAATAAAAAGGGATAAAATGTTGGAATTACGAGTGATGAGACAGAAATAAAAACATTATAATAAATAAGTTAAACTAGAATTAAGAAATATAAACACAGAAGGGAAATCATGAACGTAAGAAAAGCAATTAACAGTTATAGACTTAAGTTTTTTTAAAAAATATTCGGTAATGTAAGGAAGATATTGTTAAACACGTGAAAGAAATTAGAAATTCTGTAGAAAATTTAGTAAAAGAACTAAGATCACGAAAAATAAATGTTTCTTTTTAAATACAATTTCATACCACTAAGTTAAAGTGTGTATAGAATACTAGAATGGTTTTAAAAAAAGTAAATGAAGTTAAAATTCAGAATATATTGAACATTATAACGTTAAAAAAGTGTGAAATTGCATCTAAAATTAAGTAATGTAACAAATAAACAGCATGTGCGAGAACGTTTGTGAAATATAACATATAAGTTAAAAATCAGGGTATGCTGAAATTTATGAAAGGTATGAAAAGAATAGTATGTGGAAATTAAATAAAATATTACAATTAGAAACGTTAAGTATTAAAAAAATATGACAGTAAATGAATATGTTATTATGAAACAGAAAACCTGAGAATAAGTTTCATGAAAAAACTAGAAAGAATAAAAGTATCAGAATAAATTGATGAGCTGATTCAAATTCCATTTTCTTATATAGGCTTTTTTTACCTAAATCTAAATGTATCCCGTTAGCTTAGTGGTTAAAATCTTCAAACTACTGAGCTGGTGAGAGATATTTTGTTTGAGAGTTCAGTTCTATATTTTGAATAATAGAACATTTAAAAAAAAAAAAGAAACTTCTAAAATAGATTATTTTCTTTTTTCGTCCCTAGAGGACGCCATAAGCAATTCCTAAATAAATTATTTTCTTTTTTCATCCCTAGAGGATGCCATAAGCAATTCCTAAATAAATTATTTTCTTTTTTCGTTCCTAGAGGACGCCATGACTCCGTTGCCAATTTAAAAAAACTAACTTTAAATGAAAAGCAGGAGGTCTACAACTCAACCAGCAATCTAAAAACACCTCAACTCCACTCGTGACCACGCCTCCTAGTGTTATGACGTTGCCTTTGGCCCCGCCCTCTGTGATGTCATCGACCACGCCCACACCCCACACCCCGTGCAGCAGAACCCCCATTTTCTATCTACTCACATTTCATGTAATTATCGCTTTCAACAAATATGCCAAACTTCAAAACGCGCCAATATATAAATTCATGTATATCTTCAGGAATTTTGAATAAAAAACTGTAATTTTTTTCAGGTATGCTTAGAAATACATCTACATTAAGAAGATGGTAAAAACTGTATGTAAAATATTAAAAATACGAGGGCTTTGCTTTTCGCGAACACGCAACCTTTAATTAACTTTCTACAATTCAGGATCTACCCCCTAGACCAATACCTTCTAGAATTTGCTAGCCTATTATGTAACCTCTATAAATAACGAATACGCGCCATTTTGCATCAGAAGAAGCTCGCCTCTCCTCCTGTGCTATACATTTCGCTGCTGCTTGATCTGTCTTCCCTTTGTTAGAAATAGTAATGACGCGTAAAGTTTAACTTTAGTCGTACTTGGTTTAAACTAGTATTGAATATGTGATTTAGAGAATTTCATATGAAGTAAAGCATGATCTACGAAAAATATTGAATTAAAGCTATGGAATAAAGATGTTCCATTAAAAGCTAAATCAACTTGCCTCTTCATTTGGATTAGCCTTACTACTCCTGCAAAAACCATGCCGAAATATCACATGTATACATTATAATTAAATTTTTTTTCGAAAAATTTGTAAAAATTATTTAAAAATACAAATTTAAAAAATAAATCATAAAAAATGAGCAATTTTATTTAAAATGAACCTAAATTTCGCAATGTGAAAGGAAGAATGAAATAAGTTTAATAAAAAATGGACAGATTAATAAATATATATCAGTCTCAATTAACATTGAGGATCTAAAATTTTAAAAACTACTCGTACGATTTTTACAGAACTTGGCAGTTTGGTGTAATGTGAGACGTAGAATTAAAATATGGAAAAAAAAGGCAGATTATTTAAAAAAAAGGTCCGATTTTGTGTCAAAATACCTATATTAGAACAATGCTATATATAAATCCAATACATATCCTAAGTCGGGCTTTCGGGACATGAAAAACGCAAGTTGAATTTCGTCAATTGGCCCAGTAGAACGAGAAATATCGAAATGTCCCCCCCCCTTTCTTTTTTCCGCAGTGTACATTCATCGACGAAGTGCCTGGCATTCCCAAACTTATCACCTGTTAAGCATTTAACATTATTCTGCAGATGGAACCGATAAAAATGAGCCACAAAAGGCCCATGATTAGTCAGTATCTGATTTATTTATATCAACATTATTTATAATACCCATCTTCTTACTTAACTTTATATTTTTCATTAAATCTTTTTTTCTTATTAGACGACTCCCAGTAAATATTCTGTTCTGTATAAATCCAGTTTTCCATTTCAGTAATGGTCTTTTTTCTTGAATCTTCGATATCAAAATTATCGGTCCCATCTCCAAGTGCCGCCAATTTAGCAAGGGTGTCCTCCCTCTCATTTCCGACAGTTCCACTGTATGCTTTCGCCTAGTGTAATTTAACAGTATGGTTTCTTTCAGCCTTTTATATTAATCAATCGTTTTGTATGATCTGGTTGAGAGAGTGCCTGTAGCGCAAAGACGGCATCAGTATAAATGGGATTAATATAGATTAAACCATTTAATGAATTTTAAATTAGTTAATTTTAAAATTTAATCAAAAGGAAAAAAAAAAAGTAAAATTTTGGGCAGTTGCTGCAAAGATAATATTTAATTTAATAAAGTTACAGCTAAAATAAAGGAAATTATTTCCTATGAAATTCGAAGTGAAATTTGTAAAGTAAATGTGCACTATTATGGTATAAATAATTGGCAATTTAGAAAGCTGATGTGCACTATTGTGGTAATAATTAACTGAAATTTACAAGTGAATATACTGGGATGTCAAAAGAGAAACATAAAACAAGAGAGCTAACTATTACTGATTCCATAAGAAAGATCTCGACTTATCAAGGAGAACTGGAATCTTTCTATACAACCATCAATAATTCCTGAAAAAGCGCTTTTCTTCGTCTCACATATCTGAACAAATCCCTTTTCAATTTTACATTTCTATTCAGCTTTAGAATATTGAATAACATCTTCGGGGAATTATCTGGCTAATCCGAATCGATATGATGTCATCGATTCGAATATGTCAGATCTGAATCGATAAGATAATATAAGATGTACGTATCTATCCATAAATATAGATAGATAGATATGCTGAGATTTAGGAAGAGAAATATTTAAAAAACTGGAAATGTTTTAATAAGCATTTTAGGAATTTACATACTTTAAAATGCATTTTCTCAGTTTGTAGTTTTTCGATAAATCCTTTTACTCAGAGTTCTAAAAACTTATATAGATATGGACTAAATTATTTAACATTTTTTTCTGTATGTTTATTATTATACACTTAATAGAAACAATGGCAGGTTTTGCAAAATATTGACAGGAAAAACTACTGGAAATAAAAATGTAGTTGAAGTCATATTTTTTTCAAAGTTTTGACATATAAATATGGTTTTTAATTTTTTTCTCAGAAAATTAATTTACTAATTGCAAAATCGATTCTCTAAGTTAAGAAGAGCATTCTAATAAACACAATAAAAAATTGGAAACTGTAAAAGGAGTCAATCGTTAGTTTTTTTCAAAAAATTAAAATTAAAACAAAATTGGGCAATTTTTTTCAAGTTTAAATTTTTTTACCTAGCAAAAATACTCAATTCGTAAAAAATTAAATAACAAAAAATTAAATCTTCTTAACAATAGCAAATTTCATAAAAGTTATGCCACAAAGCCACTGTAAATACAACTGTAACCATAATAGTTATCAAAGACACGACAGAATTAAAAGAAAAAAAAAGAGGAGAAAGCCATGATAACTATCGCATACGTAAATAATTGCAAGCAAATTTGAAAATATTTTAACTTACCAGTAAAAAATATCACAAGACAACTAGTGGAGCTTATGAGTTGATCCGATAGAACTTTTTTTACTACAGTTTTTGCTGCGGATCCTGGCAACAACCTGTCCAGTATACGATACCAATAAAAAAGTGCCGGTCCTATGCCGACTATTCCAACCACTGCATATCGCCCCACGCTTCCCCAATCTATGGAATTCTTCTGGGGGGATGTATAAACCAGTATAGTCTGTTGAGCTACTTCGGCCCCCACATACATAGTCCCAAATGAGACCATGTTCATTAACAATGGCCGTTTCTGGAAAATTAGCCTTACCCTACTCAGCATACTCTTTACACCCAATGCAGACGACACAGACTTGATAATTTCGATTTCTGATGTTGTATTCTTTATCTTTTAAGAAAACACAGAATTTTCAGATAAGAGAAAGTGTGCCAACAGCAGTGTGACGTCATATGAAAGAGAAGCGGTCAATAATAAAAATGGGAGTGACAATATCTTATAGCAACAAGCTTCAGAAAACGAGAGCATGAGGGTTGAAGGCACCAGCAGAATTCGCTTAGCAGAATTACACAATCAAAACAAAGATCGCTGCTCCATCTGCACGTCCCCCCCCGACCGTTTCGTTGTAGTTGTAAAAGGAAGTGACGTTGTTGATGATGTGTAAAATGAGGCCGGCCATAGAATTTGTAATGTTTGTTTGATCAAATCAGCAAGAATTCCAGACGAACCTTTTACTTATTTTTGTTTTTATTTCTATATCCCTAGTTCAAATACGTCTAAAAATGTGTTAAGTGCTTGTGTATTTTTTATTTTGCTACCACATGGTTAGACGAAAAATATAATTACTGTAAAAGATAGGAAATTTCGTAGAGCTTTTTTTTAAAGCCCAAAAGACACTATTAGTCTCCAAATGGGATCTTGGTTTAGTTCACTGCATAAATGGCGAATTACTTTTCAGATTGTCGTCACCCAACATTATCACCCTGTATGATTTTTAAAGAAATTAAATAATGGAGAATCTGTATATATGTATGTTCCTCGCGTCATTTTGAAAAAAAAAAAAAAAAAAAAAAAAAAAAACACGACGGTATCTAGAATCATCAAATTTTGAATAACATAGTCCTTCATCCGAACATACTGACCTGGAAGCCCGAATTCTGAGTTTGTTTTATTTATTATCTTTTATTTCATATTTTGTAAAACTTTAACGAATTCTTTTGAAAGCGAGCAGTGGCGACACTGTTCGAAATAAGACATTTTTATCTTCAGCGCATGAATCTGTTGCCATTCGGAAAAATAGAAATTCTATCAGTTTTAATTAACAAACTCGACTCTACGAAAGCGATGTTTTGTCGGGGCCGGAAATGAAATACTTTTATTTTTTACGCGAATGCGTGTTGCTGTTCGATAAAGCCTATGGTAATTCCAAATTAAATCTGGAAGATTATAGAGGAGTAAACTAAACGATTTAAAAGGAATAAACACAGTTTTTAAGAATATTTTTTTCTACTTTTCAATGTGATTTATTTAAATAAACATGTATTAAAATTACGAATTGTCTAATTAGAAACATTCAATATTTTTATAGAATGACACTAGCTGGACTCATTAAAATCGTGTTTTTTTCCTTTTTTATGATATGTATTTTAGATTAGTTTTCAAAGAAATAATACAGAGAAAATAAAAATGTGTATGGCAGACTCAAACACTCTGTTGAGAATCCTAAAGATTGTTGAAATGAATTTTTTGTGGAGTAAAAGAACGGGAAATTTAATAAATAAAGTAAACACATAAAAAATTCGTAATAAAAGTAACAAAAAATTTGGAAGCCATCATACTAAGAAAACCGAACATATGATAAACTGAGAATAAAAAATAGAAAAATGTATACCAACACTTAATGCTGAATGAAGAGTTCTAAGCAAATGCAAAGGGTTTTTTTTTAAATATATTTTTCCGAGTGGCAACAACAGAGTATTTTTGAACGGTAATGTTTCTTCGAAGTACGCATAGTCATTTTGTATTTTCAGTTGTATCGTCTCAGTGATATTTAAATAATGCGAGAATAAAGATTTATTAACATAAGTGAAGAATATTTCTTAAACAAAGTAATTTATGCTAACATTTCAGAAGTGGGATTAACTAGAATTATTACCTAGGATTTAACAACGTATTGCCTTAATGTACGTTAAGCAGTGGAATAGCGAGCATAATTGGCGCTCAGGGCAAAATACCTTTTTGGCGCTTCCCCCCCCAAAAAAACAGAGTGATATGAAAATCTTGTTTGGAGACCATTTGGCGCCCCTCTGCGAGCGGCACCCGGGGCATCATACATCCCCTTGTCCCCCCCCTCGGTTACGCAACTGACGTTAAGCCTAAACTGAATGCGGAAGCTCGCCAAAACTGAAGGTAGAGGTACGTGCATTTATAAACTGTTTATGTTATATTTAAGTATTAAACGGAAAGAACTTAAGTATAATTATTGTATTATCATTTGAAAATTGAAGACTAAGATTGCTTATTTGGCAACGGGCAAGAAATGTGACTTAAAAGAACTTGCTTTGGAACTTGATGTAGATGTCCCTTTTGATATTAAAATTATAGGCTTTAAGGCATATGATTTTGAATAGTAAGAACTATAACGAAGAATTTACTAAGCAAATGCTAGATAAAATTATAAATGATCGTTTAGACAGCGAAAAGTTAAAAAATTTAGAAAACCAAAGAACATTTGAAATTGAAATATTAGAAAAAGAAAAGCAAAGAACATTTGAACTCGAAAAGGAAAAGATGGAAATTATAGAAAAAGGTAAGCAAAAGATATCTGAACTCGAAAAATTGAAAATAGAAGTGGAAATCAGAAGTAGTAATGTAAAGGATTCTGTTCCTTCTAAGGTTAGTAAAATTAATTTTTGTGATATGAGTAAATTAGTGCATAAGTGTGATTTGGATGAAGGTGATATAAGTTCTTATTTAGTCTTTTTTGAGAGACCACGACGTACTGAGTTAAAAAAACAAAATTGGGTTTCTCAGCTGCTGGGTCTATTTCCTTATGAAATAACTCAATTAATTGCTCGTGAATCAGAAGACTAACTACTATAAGCACGTTAAACAACTGCTAATGAGAAAATTTAAGCCCTGAACAGTTTCGATAAAAGTTCGTTGATCATATTAAAACGTTTCGCAATACGTGGAGGGACTTCACGTTTGAATTAAAAAATTATTTTGAAGAGTGGCTTGCTGGATTAAATGTAACGGATTTCGACTCTTTAAAACAGCTTATTATTGCGGATCAATTAAAGAAAAGGGTCCCCGCTGCTATACGAGATCATTTCATTGATGATTGGTCTAAATTCATCAATCCTGGAAGAGTTGGCTGAAAACTAGATGAATATGAAAATATTCGGGCAGGAATAAAAGTACTTGAAGTAGAAAATAAAACCTTTAGGCATAATTCTAAACCTAAATTTAGTTCTAAATTTTATGAGGGATCCTATAATCAGTATTCAAGACCCAGAAATGTTAACGGTTCTATGCAGACAGATGGTAATTTCAAAGTGGGTTTTAAAAACAGTTTTGATAATAATAAGTACAATTTGAGAGATAAATTTTATAAAATAAACGATAGGAAAAAGGAATATAATTCTGATATCCGTAATGAAAAGGGTAAGCCGAAATGCTTTAATTGCGATGATTATGGACATATAGTGACGGATGTCCTGAATCTAAAAAAGAAATTATTTGCAGGAAATGTAATGAAAAGGGTCATACTTTTAAAAAGTGTACGTCTAACACTTTTAGTTCAGACTTCACAAATGTTAAAAATAATTTATCCGTGAATCAGAATTCAGGTAATTTACCAACTGTATATTTAAAGTATGCTCGCATCAATAATGGAGAAGAAAGTAGTGCAATCATAGATACGGGTTCTAGTTCGTGTCTATTGAAACAGTCTGTAGCTAGAAAACTGAATCTTACTATGAAACCTGATGTGGAGGAATTGTTTGGCTTTGGAAACCAGAGTAAACCAGCCGCTAGAATATTGGAAAAAGTAACTGTTAATTTATAGATTGATAATGTGGAAGGAAAGGACATTACAGTTATAATTGTAGGAGATGAAACGCAACCATGCGACTTATTAGTTGGTCGAACATGTATTGATTTACCCCATAATGCATACGCCAAGATAGGTAATACCTTGCACATACGCTGTGCTAATGATTGTCTATTTTCACAGTTGCAAAATGACATCAACACTCCGCGAATTAAACTGAAGGCTTCTCAAGAGAAATCGAAAGTAATACGGTTGATTTCGTGAAAATTAAAACTGATGAAATAAATAACGGTTATGTTTTAATAAGTGGATCGAAAGATGAGTTGGGCTCATTATTGGAAAAAATACAGGGAGAAAAAGTGATACCAGTCACTAACTACAGCGATCAAAAATTAATTTTAAGAGAAAATCAACATATCGGTAGAGCGGAAGTAGCATAATTAGTTGAAGCTGAAGAGTTAAGCACTTTGCCAAACAAAAAAGTAAAAGTATTTAGAGATGGCAAAATAATAGTTAAAAATTGTAAAAATGAAAGTGAATCAATAGACAATTCCAATTTAAATGATGAAGATTCCTGTCCAGAATTAGCTGATAACAATGAAAAGGCAAGAATGACTCTGGACTATGATGGAAAGTTTGAAAATCCAAATACTGTAAAAGTCGCTAATTCCAAAGGTAAAAGTCACTGAAAAGGAAAAGGACTTCAAAGAAAATCGTTAAACAGAATACAAGTGAAAAAAATATTCAGTACCATTATTGCAAATTTGTATCAAAATTATCATTTAATTATATGACGTTTCTTCCCATTATATTATTCATATCCAAATTTCTTTATCAGCATTTTAAAAAAAAGGTGGGTGTGATCTTTCAGCAGTGAAATTGCCTTTTCGCATTGTTAAGCAATGGAGAGCGATTTTGTTCTCGTATTGCCACAGAAGTCCAGTAAAACTGAGGGATAATTCGAAATTCTGGATTCTAAATTCGGATTACTTTGCATTGCGTTTTTGCAAAACATCGAACGGAAACTATCATAAAAAATATTTAAGCATAAAAAAATAATCTAAGAATTATATTACAGATTAAAAGTGAAAGAAAAAAGCCTGAAATTCGCGGATTTATTCAGCATTTTTGGAAATATCAGATATTCACGAAATCTTCTTAAATTCGCTAAAATTTGCAAAAAAATGTAAGGATAAAGTTACTGTCTTCGAAGCTTATTTCACAATAATACCTTGCACATAGAATGCAATAGAGCTTATTTCAGAGGAATTAAGCTCTAATGTACTGTTTTCCCGCTATACAATGTTAGATATTAAAAATCACACTTCAGTCGCTCTCAAATTGGCCACTCTCATTAAAACCCTCCAACCGGCAGAGTGTTTGGTTTCAAAACTGTCATGAAAATGAGGAATGTTTTTAATTATGCTACAAAAACGTCTCTTGTACTTTAGCATGGACTATTTATCTTTTAACATACTCCTTTAATGTATTAGACATAGAAATTCACAATGCACTTGCATACCTGTTTTACAGTAAAAATGACTG